AGTCACCTCTGAACAGAAAATAGATGAGAGTAAAGAAAACAACAGAGGTCACACGTGATGTAGATGTTGGCCCCCCTATCCTCAAATAACGCGACACGGAATTGCAGTATATCCCTGTTTTGTGAAAAATGCTATTTTTTCTAGAACGAGAACTTCAGTTGTTCTTTCAGTGGAATTTCTGTGAACGGTATATGCGCCATTTCTACCGGTAGATTCCTACTTAGAGTTAAAATGACAATTGGAAGAGATGTTTATGACATCAGTTTCAATAAGACATCCGCTGTATGTAATCGCTACAGGGACCAACTAGGTTAATCTAATTCACTAGTACAGAACAATGATCGGTTTCCGCGTCGACGAAAACGGCGATGACATTTTAGACGATTGTGTCACCTTCCAATGTAGTACACGATAGTGTGTTGTTGCTGTCACGGTCAGTCACTGCTGCGGGGAATGGTCTTTATGTGTTCGTACACTTACCGGACACTGGTCACTCCGGGTTGTGTATCTTTACAACACGCAAACCCCTAAAGGGACACGTACCCGTATCGAGGTTAGGAACCGTCTGGATTTTAAATTGTGGCGAGTTAATTAAGCAAAAGGGTCAAATAATGACATAAAATGTGACAACTGACATCTTATTACCAATACCAAGTTAAGATGTACATTTCTGTCAGTCACCAATACCAAATCTATCCAACATCCAATCCATTTTACTGCAAAATCCGATAGTAGATTGGTAAAATTTCTTTTACAACAAATTCGATACTTTTTCACTCGTGTAAGTAAAGATATAAATCTGCACATAAGAAACCTTCTTTTCTTTGGAATGAAAGACTATTCATAAAGTGATGTTGAACTTAATATGTTTTTATCAGAAAATACGAAAGTGAGCAAAATTGACATTTTAATATCAAATGGCAAATGTGTAGAGGAACACTTAGAAGAGGATAATTCGATAAAAATATTGGCTGCAACAAAAGACAGAATACATATCATATGACGTAGCAGACTGTCTGATGATTTCCGTTGCTCTATGATGAGGGTTACTTTCGTGTATGGCTTAACGTTTCGATATCACAATACATTTTAAAACGATAGTTTAAAAAAACCCGGTGAAATAATATTTTTCTTTGAATTCTTAATCTACTGTGAAAGCAAAATGCCATCTATATTACTAGCATTTTCAAATATATATGTTTCGATTATATATATATCAGTATCTTCATATACATGCATGCACCTGTCCATCCTGTCATAATTTAATATATGAATTCATGTACATGTACCTCATGTTACACATTTTCATGTGTCTGAGTGTTGAAAATAAAATCTGAAATCTGAGAATATTGTTAGACTGGCTACCAGCCCCTAAGTTTTTATGAAGAATTTCCCAGCTGCATTTTACTACTAGCTCATCTCGCCCAGACATCCAAGTGATCAAAATTATAAGAGTTTAGTTTGTTCTTAATAATTCAATATTCTATAGAGACTAATAAAATAATCCTCTTCCGGTATAATATTACAATTATTCAGTTCCAGTCAACATAGAAATTGTTGTTCCATATTATTAGAAACCGCTACAAATAAGCAGAATTTGATATGTAGTAAATTAATTTTTACACGTTATTTTTTCTATTTTGTCAATTATCGGTGACATATGAATTAAACGTTAGATGACATTAGTTGATATGTTTATCAAATGGTATAGCTGGGAGGTGACATCTACAAACAGATAGCGAGTCTCACGGCCGACACTTATCGCTGTGGGCACTAAGTTGGTTTTTATGTAAAACACTAAAGAGACACAAAACACATATGTACCGTATCCGCTCAGGAACCTGACATCTGAATCCCACTTTTCACCTCTCGTGGCTTCGGGATGTTTGTTAAACATGGCGATAACGGCACAGTTAGACCGGTACAACACCAAGAATGTATAGCTCAGGGCCTCGTCGTATATGTCAGAGTGAAAGTGACATTTTTAATGTAATCAAATACCTCGCAATGTTATTTGTGTTAAAAAAAAGGGTATGCATGGTAGAAATTGAAAAAGATCAATTTCATAGAAGGATTTTTTTGAAAAACCGTTACACTATACATACCACGATGATATTTTCTTGTTACATACACTTACGATAAATCCGTTGACACAACATAAGTTTGATATACAGTAATACATTCAGGATAGGTTTCTACTTGAAACGAATACTGATAGACCTGTCTAATCCGACACACTGTGTAACATACCCCTGAGATTACACCAGAGGTCTTAATACACAGGTAAAACTGGTAGTTTTCGTTCATAGACGTCAAATGAATCAACCAACATTCAGTATCCACCGTTCACGCCCGATGATACTCTCTTATCTTTTTTAGTAAGTCTGACGATTAAAAGCAACTATTTGTGATATAAGATGTCAACAGTTTTAGTCCATCCTGAACGTCATTTATTTAGATGTGTTTTGGTGTCGACACAATGACTGACATATATATAAACCTACAGGTACATATGTGATGATATCGGTATCAAGTCGCCCTCGGATGTTGATGCAAATATTATTGACCGCGGGATGGACAAGGAGGCATGCAGTATGTCAACCCTGCATGGGAAATCTGTAGAAAACAGCCGACTCGACAAGAGACCTATTTGTGATTCTGACACGAAACATTTGACCCATAGCTCCCGTATAGTGCACAGGCCAGACACCCATACTGTATGTCATCTCATTCTTAAATTACGCGTGGGTTAAACATGGGGAAAACGAAAGAACAACCGCCGGATTGTGTGGCTGACACGGCACATTACCATACAGAGAGTGTCGCTGATGTCAGGGCTGGAGCTACCTCCTGGGGCCGGTAAATCACCCTCAGTACCCACGGCCCCTCAAACTCTCGGGCTCACTGTTATTAATTGATCCCTACAGAGGGCGCTAATTGGCCCCTAATGACAGTCAGTGTATCACTACAGGACCATAAACCCGGGCGATTCGTTAGGCAACCCACTTTTTTAGACACACAAGTTGGTTATAAGTTATTCAAAATAACCATTGAAATGCAAATAAATTAGAATTTGTCGCGAGTTTCAGCCATTGAACTTCTGTTTTGTCAGTATCAAGTCGTTATAGTAAAATCTGATTTTTTTATCAGCAGTTGTCTATCAAGCGAATAGCACATTCGATGATATATACATTACATATTTTCTTACCCTTAAATGTAGTACAGCAATGTGAATTGCTGAACGGCATTTTATTTAGTGTTATACCGCCATGAATAAACCTATAACAAGTAACAAATTAACAAACAAGATTTTTAGCTTCCATAAAAAGAGTGGCTAGAATTTTAGGAGTTTAGGGACGTTCTATATCTTACAGAGTGTCTTTAAACTGAAGGGGGAAATCCAACGTACCGCTAAAGGGATTATTTAGGTTTTCAGGGAGAAAAATATATTTCGCAAGAGACTGTTTTGTGAATTGCAAGGTATTTTAGCATGTTTTCGTTTGAAGCTAAACAGTAATTACAGCAAACACGTAGCCTATTTCCTGTAGCCAGTAGCAATCAATATATAGGGATTATTTGAAAATTTTATATATAAAGAAAGAAAACAAACAGAAAAGAGAAGTTGAAATTGAATGAAGTGATGCAAGTAAGATTGACTTTATGAAATGAAGATATCCCCGGGATCTGTCTGTTCCCTGATACTGACCACAACGTCTCTCATAGCTGTTACCAATGTCATATTTCACCCTTTTATTTGTGCTTTAACTTAAATATTTATTGATGCAGGACCAGATTATCAAGTAGAAATTTACGTCTATACATGTAACCCTAGACAAACAGAAGATCATTATATCATTATAATACAACTCACATATTCAATGTTCATTTTATTTCCAAAAGTTTACAACTTATAGGTACAGGATGTTCATATACAATTCGTACATATACAATACATGCTTGCCAGAGCGGCAGTTTGCATGTGTAAACAAATATAGTGACATGTGTTTTGAATGAATGTACATCATAATGGTATACTAGTTAAAGAAAAAATAATAAAAATAATGTATTGAGGGAGATTGCATTGTTGTTGGTTCATACATTTAAATTTTTGTTTTCACATAGCCACTCTTCATTTGATCACGGAGAAAACAAGAAGTGCCGTTATTTGTTTACTTATAACGATTAACGGTGATAAATTATCTGTTAATTTACACAACACCCGAGTTCATCCATTTATCTGTCCTATGTTTTATTTATCAATTTAAAATCGAATCGTAAAGACGTAATAAAGAAATAAAAACTTGAATTCAATTCAATGATACATTCAATTATACACTGGATTTCATTTTTCTTTTTAAACAACAAAAACAATCATGATTAAGTTGTTTTATTAGCTGTGTTTAAACCTGAAATGTCGCCAGTCTTAGTGATCGGATTTCAACAATATAATAAAGTATACCCTAATTAGCGATGCACTTTTACAACAAGAATTCATCACTTCTGAATTAGCAAAAAATATATTTATTTAAATAAAACTTATTTGATAAGGTAGAAAACCAGAAGGTATCAATAGATGGTCAAGGTCGAGCCTTAGTGTGGGGAATGTGATGTCCAGACGGAACTGACCCTCACTCACTTGGGGATTTATTGTTCAATTTCTGTGATTTACTTCAAAAACCACAGACAAAACTTCATTTTCTTAAATGTGAAAGCTGTCTGACATGATTCGAAGATGACTGGACGTTGGTCAAGCCCTCCGGTCATTTCCAACAGCTAATTATTTTTTGACCGTAGTATATTGAAACTTTCACTGTGCGATGTGAAAGGTCCAGCCCCCTACAGCGCTCAACAAGTGTCCGGAGCCATATTGACCAATCAGAGCGCGCCTTACTGATGCGGTCGGTTACATCATTTTCACACAATACTGACCGGTGTGGGGTGGGCGTTTATAATGTCCAGTCGATGGTCAGTCAGTAATAATGGTCAGTAGGAAGGTGAAAGGGTAGTTAGTAAGTGACCACTGCTGTAATAATCGCTGTCCGGAGGCTAGCGACTGACTAACATTGACCACCTGAGAGAAAGTGTTCCAGAAAAGAAAACTTTAATTTGGATGTTACTTGCTTCATTGCACTCAGATACTAAAAAGAAAGTTTGCGACTTTAGCCATTTCAATTTGGAATTTAATGGACTGAGGAAGAAAATCAAACGCGGTGACTTCTGAGAAACAGTTGTAATCTACTTCCAGACTTTAGTATATATATTAGTTTAGAAAGTTTTAAAAATAATTTGGTTGCGGCTTAAATCGCCCTTCCAAAAGCTTTTGAAAGAACTGAGAGAAAAGATGTGTTATCAGATTTTAAACACATTATTTTCTCGTCGCAATTAAGTTTTTCACAAATTTTAAGTACTAAAATACAAGTAACAGTAAAAATGGATGCCTGTGTATTAATTCCGGAAGAGTTCGGTCTGGTCCTGACTCTGCATCCGAACCCACAAAATGTGCTGGAGATGTTCGTCGATATCTGGAGTAATGTACACATACCCTCGGGAACCGTATTCCGTCCGGACCAGGGGACCGTCCGACTTGACAAGTTAGAAGTCTATTCCAAGCTCGAGGCCTGTAATGTAAGTTTTTCTTTCTTTTTTCACTTTTTTTAATTTTTATTTAATTTATTTATTTTTTATTCTTATTCTTCTGTTTAACCGAAAAACTGGGTTCAACTGTTTCAGATAAGAAAAACAACATTTTAGCGCTCTTTATTAAAATAGGTAATCAGTGTATGTTCGTAAAAATTACAATTCATTGTGTCGTCCTAAAACTTCAATTAAATGTGTTTAAACATTATTTTTTCTTCTCGATTTTATCATTTTCTGTAATGTTATGCTACATACTGTTTTTTTATAAAGTTTTTTAACCTAAGATATTTTCTCGTCTTATAACAATTTCAGACAATTTACTTAAGAAAAGGATGTTTTAATGAATTCCTATACATCCGTTCTCATTTGAAAATGCCTAAGATATTATGTATTTTTCTCCATATATATATATTTTTCTAAAAATAAACCCGTTACTGAACGTTAGACTTTTTAACTGTCGTCTACTTGAGGAAACTTCCTCAAACGATTATTTTAACTGAAAGAAATTTTGTTATTTTTAGATGTAAAAAAATATGCTGACATTATTTAACATAGTTATATATTATTTTTTACGCTCTTGTCCATTTTTACAGTCTATATTTATTTTAATATTTGTTAAGCTTATAGTCAAATACAAACTATCCAAATTAATAACGTACGACTCTGCTCACACTAAAGATATTTAAGTATATTTGAATACTATGATATCGGCTGTTAAAGTTCAAACGGCATAACGTGTGATAATTAGCGGCTAGGGTTATATCACCTGTCTCTATTAACTAAAGTCGAAAGAAAGAAATATATACTCAATAAAAACGTAACGCCATGAAATACATCTCACATTTACTTATTAAACATGTAAAGTACTTACTAGCACTGGCGCATCGAGTGCATTTTATATCGCCAGCAAATCCCGATGAGATAATGAGTGTCAAGTTTTATATTAATATACTCAACTTTTACATAAACTTTTTTTTCTTTTAATTAATGCAATAACCAGACAACTTTATTTCTACATTATATGTAGAGGTTAGAACACATTGTTTATACTGGCGTACTCTAGAGTGACTAGTTACGTATAGTATATTTGTTATTCGGAACTCTCTTTCATCTTTTTTCCTCTTTATCATCTACGGCGAGAAATTTCACGCCCTGTACACAGTCTAAACAAACATGCAAAGCACGTGTAGTATTCTATTAAGTAACGCCGTTCGCCCTTGATTCTGACTGCACCGTGCTGGGAGGTACACGCCCACAGCGGTATCCGGTAGCGAAATACACATACCGATCTAATCCGAGGGGCATATACATTTTGATTAACCCCCCAGATCAATCGGTTATTATCACACGGGTAATAACTGTTTATTGATCATGTCGGTATCATAAAAGCGTGAGGCTGAGTGAGACAAATCGTAACATCGGGGAGTTATTTCGGGCAAAATCACACTGTAGTGTAGGTTTTCAGGAACATGAAAATTAGGCTGAAGCGCTCCGTCACTTACAGCTAATTCTTACAGATATGTAATGATACCACGGACTTAGATAGCTTATCTCATTCCATGATAATACTTATGACAAACAATAATTTTAATGAATTGGTTTTTCGATATAAGTTTCAAAAATGATAATCTTATTTATATATGCAGTATTCTCTATTAATTGTCTTTAAATTACAGCAATCGGAAAATCAAGGAAAACAAAGAAAATCATTATGTTTTATATATTTTTTATATTAATTCGGTAAGCGGTATTAATACGATTTTCATTATAATAAATATATAAAACTATTTATTAAATATAGAAGTCACTATAACGGCCCGGTATGTGTTCACTTAGGAACATTCGTGACGTCAACTTTACGATATGCAGCGTAAAGCAAGGATCGCGGGTAACGCTATTACAGAGGTAAAAACTTCTTAGCTTTCCTCATTAACCAATAGGGCTTTACCAATCAGTTATGTAACGGACACACGTCATCCCCGTAAAACCTCCCTGCTACTCTTCATTACCGGGAGGTAAAAACGGGACAATACGATCCCTAAATTGACATCATAGTATCTATAAGTAAGTCCGTTCGGAGTCAATCCTTCCGTCTTAGGGTTCCTGACTCCCTAGGGGCTATGACACATGCACAATGATGCCTAATCTACCTCGCGCTCCCTCAGTACTGGCGCTCTAACACGCGGGGGATTACCACGACGAGAAGTCACAGCTCTCTATCAAAAGGTCACAGTTCAGCCGTAAAGTCTTTGATGGGGGAAGAAAAGACACGTCATCTTATTTTTTGACATCTTTTGTACCCTATCAATCGACGCGTTTCTGGAAAATCCGTAATCCGTGAAAACTCCGGTTTCGGGATTTAGAAACCATATCGCAGCTTCCTGTGAAAGTGAGAAGTGCTGTTAATGCTGTCACCTATATCAAAAGGATGCTCTGTAACCCTCGACTCCAGTCGTTGACACGACACATTGGGTGTTAAAGATGCCTGAATACTTTCCAAGAACAAAACAAAATTGCTCGTAGAATTTAAAGGGACACAAATAAAATCTTTGCCCAGTCAATGTCGACAAAAATCATGGCTTAAACGGAACTTTTTTTTAATTCAATGTTTTATATTTAACTTATTCTCGATTATTGTAGACATAGAAACGCGCCAATTATATAACGTTTAACCAGCACACAATTTCAAATTTTGGTAGAAAAAATAATTCCGGTAAGTCAGATTTAAATAAGACATGGGTATGTGCTACTCAATATATGTATACATGTCTTGTTATGTCTAGCCAGGAAAAATATAAAGCCATTTTCATTTCAATACAAAAGATTCTGACGATTTTCATTTCGTCATATTATATTAATTGCGGTTTAAACAGTTATTTATTTCCACATTCCAAATTTTTTCTTGAGGGAAAAAAATAGAATAGACATCTTTTATGTATGTAAATAAGATCATATGAGTTAAAGAACTTTCGTCTTTGCGAGTAGACAGTATGTAAAATAGCACTTTATCCTCTGTCATTATTTGCATAGTACCATTCATCAGGATAACGACGGAAGCTTGTGATCTTTGACCCTGTAAGGGGCCATTGAAGGGTAACTCGTACTTATTACAGCATTCATTACGTACTTATTTTCTGCTTTCAACTTTACGTACCGTTATATTCCGCTTTCAGCTTAAAATTTGAATTATATGAATAATTGCATCACTGAGCCAGAGACGTATATAGTATGTCTCTGATTGAGCCATTTACATAGCTAGAATTATAGAAATGATTAAGTTTCAGGTAAGAGTTGTTTCCCCTCATGGGTCCCGTTCTTTCAATACAGAATAAGAAGTTATTTATTTACCTAAGATTTGTCCAGGTGTAAAAGTGATACATTAGATGACCAGACGGCACTACTTTATTATTTACCTAACGTTTCTTCAGGTGAGAAAGCTAGTACAGGTATATTTACGTACCTGAATGCTAATAAAACCGCCACATTAGTTTTGTCAACATTGTCACCCGGTAAAACAGATGATACACCCTTCAAACAGTCTGTAACAAAGCGGGTGTTTACTGAGGGATGGGATTAGGGACGACCCTACTATCTGTGTAATGCTTGCGGGGCTGATCACCACTCAGATCTAATCTGTCAATATACAGAGTTATTTTGTTTGTCCATATTTTTGTTTAGTGTAAAGGCAGTCATGCGACTCATGTGTATATTCTAAATAGCTGTATATAACTTTTCTCGTTATTCTTGTTATTTTGGTTCTAATTATTATTTCAAATGTCGATGAAATACCTCGCGGTAGTAAACAATTAGCTTAATGATGTTAATGTCGATTGCCGATCACGTGTGATAGCGACTAGCGCGTGCCCCAAGAGAGGGCATAATCAGAGAACAGGTGACGAAATTTCAAATCCGGACGAGTGTATTATAATTATTACCCAGGGGGAGATAAGATGCGAGGCTCGGTATTAGTCGGGTATATTTGTCATTTCTCAATCATTTAACAAAGGCTTAAATATCAAAGATTATCTGTTTATGTACGTCTTACATTTAAAGTATTCCAAACAAAAATGTTTATTTATCAATAAGATCTTAATCATCCTCAGAACTATGAACCATGTAATCGCTCATTCAATAACGATCTACAATGCATACCAGACATGCATGTGCTACCCTCGTTGTTAAGCGTCAACACACATTATATTAATTATTTCAAAAGGTCAAACATATTCCGAAAAATTCACAGTCATGCGGTTACTTTTATTATTTTTACAAAAAATGGAATTTTCAGCAAATTTCGCAGGGCAACGTAAAAATTAAACGGTTGTTTTTCACTACAAATATTTTCGCTATTGAACTGTTGACGAATATGCTTTGTGTTACACTGTGTGAACAACACGCGGTACCGTGTGGCTCAATGTTGGTGAAGGGGTTCGTTAGCGCCCTTTCGTCACATTAGACTAGCCCACGTGCGATAATCAGCCGGTAATGACGTGGTAGAAACACCTCTCAGGTGTGTCCTAGTAGTGAGAACCGTGCGCCGTGACGGGACTATAATTACGGACGTGGCCGGACATCACTTAGCACTTAAATTATAGCAGAAACCATTTGATCACCATAACGATTATAGGAAAAATACCGAATAGGAATACCCGAGCTCTGTTATGGACTTTCGAAATATCATTTACAATTAATAGACAATGCTTGAAAACTATCATTAAGCAGATATTATGCGATCAATTCATTCAAAGTTGGTTTCATGATGTTGAAACTTCCTCGCGAGGGCAAGTTTACTCCTTATTCAAATATCAGTTTAATTGTGAACCATATCTTTTAAAGCTTAATCGTAATGAACGAAAAGTAATATGTTAATTTAGAACATCAAATATAAAATTTCCTATAGAAACAGGAAGACTTGAGGACGGCTTGAACACCGATATATTTTTTACCAAAAAAATGTCCCCTAAAATTCTGGATCGATAGCGGTGATTGCATATGGGAGTCTCGATCGCAATGAAGTCAGACAATATCATATAGATTAATTAGATAACTTTTTTTTTCGAAAACTAGCATCAAAAGATGCAGAAAGGCTATTGTTTCCAGGAAAACTTTTGCGCGGTTTCAGAAGCTGACGCAGATACAGGCGCGATATTTTGAAAACTAATACAGCGGTTATGTTGACTAAGGGTATCAATTAGTCGTGTATTTATCAACCCCGATAAGTGTGTATCTGGTTAGTGTATAAAGAGATGTAAACAGATAATTTGTTGATGTTTGTAACCCGAACGTATAATCACACACATCATCTTACTTGTGTAAGCACTTGCCCTTTGATAACGTAAGTCGATAAGGAAGCACGTGCGAAACACTAATGACTGAAGTCGGAATCCGGACACACTAAACGGATTACGGAATTTTGTTGTGTAAGGACATGCTATATTGTATTGTTGATACTGTACATAGTAAACTGTTGCTAACATCCTATGTATTGAAAGTAGTGTGATGTAATGAAGATAAGAAATGTTTTTAGTACCATTTGAATTGCATCAGACAAAATAAACTTCCACTTCACGATTCTCTTTGAAAAATATCTTCAATTAAAGCAATCTCCCGGTTAAGTGAATTAAAACCTCAAGTATAGCCAAACTATGCGATATGACAGTAAGTAAATAGAATTATCTTTTTTTTTTTTGATCAAAATAATAATGTTTGATAATGCATTGAAATCTCAGCCCCATCCCCTCATCTAAGGGATCCCCTATCCCCCAGGTTTCCCTCAATCCCGGGATCCATTATACCCAAAGTTTCCCTCAACCCCGGGGTCCCCTCATCTCCATGTTTCCCTCATCCCGGCGTCCGCTACCCCGGTAGAATCGACTGGCCCACGGAACTATTAACCCCCTACTTATGTGCCTATTGTATCGTTTTATTGGTATTTACCACTCAACCTAGGTATCACCTCGTGATTAATGGTCAATTCGTGTAACAGGAAACACTGACCAGTCACACTGACAGTCGCCACTGTCCAGAGTCGCCTTTTGCCACATAACTGACCACTGAAGTACCTACTGACGAACGGCCAGACGAAAAGCGCTTTACTGAATTGGCTACACTTAAAATAATGGCCGAGCGTGGTAGACATAGTAGCTGTAGAGAGTATGAGTGACCATTGACAAATGGTCGGATAAAAAGCGATTTACTCGACTGACCACTTGAAATAATGGCCCCTCGACGTTAATCGTCATTGAGAGTGACATAATGAAAGCGATACAGCTCTCGTTGACTGGCAATAACGTCTCATCAATGTTTAATTAAATTGTTGTAATGTTTGAGGCACACAATCGAGCCTCCTTAACAAAAGAGTTCCTCAGTTGTGATGGCCGCGTTAATTGGTTGGCATTGTGTAACTCGGCGCAGCGCCAGTGCGCATGAGTGGTAATTTGTTCTTTTGAAACCAAATCCGCCATGAGTTGGGTGATGCTTGCTTTAACCAAGACTTTGAATGAAATTTTAAATCGGTTGTACTCAACAATAGTGGACAATGGTCAGTTGACGTAACACGAGGAGGCACACGACCAGCACATCTGTTACCGGTGGACACAACTTTAGTCAACGTTATGGTGTCTTAGGAGCAGACGACCAGCTTCAAAGAGATCTAAATACGTCCCTCCCGGGGAGGGCTGACCATGTCTTACCCGCTCTGACCGTCACATACAGCTGTTGTTTGTCTCGGACCAAAGGTCAGGAACTGACCATAGGTCCCGTGTAGAATTTCGATTTAAATAAATTTAGGCGGGATAGTAGACACTCCAAAAACTTTGTCTTCATAATTGAAAAAAAGGAAGAGAAATATGTTTCGTTTATGTGTTTTTTGGGTGTTTTTTCTTGCACCGTTCAACATAAAGGATAAAAAAAACCTTTTAAATACGGTTTCTTAATACGTCACTTTTTCGTAATAAATTATCATTTACGTTGGTCCCAAGTCAGATGATATTACTACACAGTAGTGATTAACGACGCCTGAGTGACCCGCACGTGCTAGTCCTAACCGAAACATGAGGTAGCATGTGTTATTATCTGTTTAACAGGTCGCTCCTCCCCCTCCTGTCCCTTACTCTCTCCTCGCCCCCTTCTCTCCCTATGATAACAATTTGTAGCGCTAGCCGTATGGCGCGTGACCAATCGGGCCTACTGATAAACGAGACTCCGGCCAATTTGACCGTGGCTACTGTCATGTCCGTCGTCCTTTGTGTCAGTGGGCTAGAGATTAAAGTCTAATAAATTTTCTATTTCGATAAAAGAAATTTGGTGTTGAAGACGAGAGCGTGTCTGTAATTTAGACAATTAACAGAATTCAAACCTTGTTATTACCCCTGAAATGAATTAATTTTCTGTGTATGCATCTTTTTTGGATAAATGAAATTGAAATCGTAAGTTTTTCTTCTGAAGCGGAATTCGATAGCCTTGTAAAAGACGGGAATAGTGATTTTATTTGTCGAGTTATTGATCTCTATGAGCAACCAGTAGTTAACTCGTTAATGTGTATCTGTTCGGGGGTTACATTATTTCGTTTGATGGTTGGAATACCTTGTAAAATCAAAATACATGTAGGAACATGTGACATCTAGAGAAAGGCCACTTGTAATGCTTGTAGATACATACAATTAGAAAGGGAACAGGAAACAGGTTTCGGAAACTCAATCCGTTTTCTAAAAGTTCTGACATTTGCATTCAATCTTTGTCAATGACGTTTGTTCGAATAAAAAAAAACACCTTATGAAGAGATAAACTGTAAACATGTCAATAAAATACCCCCTTTCCATTCCAGGTACGATACAAGTTTGGCTGTTACGATGAAATCATCGATGTCGAGGAAACGTCTGTCCGTCATTGTAACTGGATTCGTTTCGTCAAATCCTCGTCCAAAGTTGATGACGTTAACTTTGTGGCGGTGAATATCAAGGGCGAGCCAGTGTTCCAGGCGGTAAAACACGTGACGCCCAATGACCCAATCGTCGTCTTCTTTGATGCAGAAGAGGAATCCCCGAAACCGAAACCGGAAGCGATATCAAGGGAAATTCCGGTACAGGAACAATCACCTGAGATCGGTAAGTTCGATGAAATAGATTTACTTGAACTTTCCACACTTTGATTATGCATAGATCTAAGTTGACCTCATACTATCGTTGACTTTGGTAAAAAGGTCATACAAAGCGTGGTCTAGGAGAAAGAGTGATTACCTTGTTTGTTATAATTGGTTTAGTTTAGCAATTTAAATAACATCGACTACTTGCTTGTTTCAGCGTCTAAAGATGACAGTAAGGACTTGATATCACCGATGTCTATGGATGCACGTGGGATGTTCACGTCACCGATCACACGAGAGGATGACTGTCGATCAAGTTTAAGTGACGTCATGAGTGAGCAGGAGAGCGATAAATCAGATCAGGTAATTAGCTAAAGCAAAACAAAATTTAACACCTATCCTGCTTTTGATTATAATTATTAAACTGGAAGTTGAAATGAACATTTTTTTTTTGATTACTCAGTAGAAAACATTTTTGTTACAAGACGGGAAGGTGTTCGGGATTGTACGATGGTATTTTGACATTGTAACAGTTTGTCAAGTCTTCTAATGGTGTGGTTTTCCTTCTAGCCACACCAGGCAAAGAAAGTTGAAGATAGATATTTAAAATTTCCTTTTTTCTTCTAGACAAAAAGCGAATCGGACACAACCACAAATAGCAGTCCCGAGCAGGGGGCCCTTTTGACGTCACGAGTCGTCAAGAGGAACCGCGAGAGGACGTGGTTACCATGTGACGTATGCGGGAAAAAGTTCGACAGACCGTCACTTCTGAAGCGCCATATGCGCGTGCACACAGGTACGTGTATTGATTATGAAATCTCCGTAACTGATGTGATAATTCGACTATTTTGGTAAAATAATTTTAATACTTTATTTCCTCTTGCCAATTACATGTACACTGTTCATCGATCATTTTCTTTGCTTTTGAAGACGTTTTCGTATGTTTTTCATGAATTACATTACGATGTGAATATTTAAATGTCTGTCTACCTTCCAGGTGAGAAGCCCCATGCGTGTGACGTATGTGGGAAGGCGTTCTCCACGTCCAGTTCCCTCAACACTCACCGGAGAATACACAGCGGTGAGAAACCACACCAATGTAAGGTGTGCGGAAAACGTTTCACCGCCAGCTCCAACCTCTACTATCACCGGATGACGCACAACAAGGTAAGTCACTCTATTCACACTTCCGGTTTTCATTTTTAACTCTTGTCCTTATATTTAGAGCTGGTTAACATTGCATGTTTGTATTTTTAAACTGAATGACTCGACTAAGATCAAGATACTAGAATGACGTGTTTACTAAAATGTATGAATGTGAAACCAGATACAAGATAACAGACAAATATTTTAGTTCGTGTTTTGCGCACTTTTTTGACCTTCTGTAAACCTAGTTTTTGGGTAACAGTGCGGCGTGGTTTATAAGACAAACATACTTTTCCAGGAGAAACCCCACAAGTGTACATTGTGCTCCAAGTCTTTCCCGACCCCCGGGGACCTTCGAAGTCACATGTACGTCCACAACGGTTCCTGGCCCTTCAAGTGTGACATCTGTAACCGTGGCTTCAGTAAACAGACGAACCTAAAGAACCACCAGCTTCTCCACTCAGGTAAACATACGTACAAGTTATATACCTGTATGACACGTTGAAGCTCGTATGTAATTACAGAAAAACATACGTATTGTATGTACAGCATGTATATCAACCATTGTGACGGGGAAATAACGTCATAAGTTTACTGCTAAGCAAATCATGGGAGTCTCTTCGATTCCTTGCCTTTCCTGTTCAAATTATTGACACAGTATAAGCACAAATTCGATCTTATTACGTCAGTTATGACGTCATACCTACTGTTGTCCATACATCAATTTAACCTTGACCTTGTTTGGGCCAGTATATGATATTAGTGTTTATTGTGGGCATGATTGGGCCGCGTCGAGGAATCTCTTTTCTTGTTTTGTTGGTCATGGATGCAAAGATGAAAAGAGTTCCGGTTAATTTAGATGCAAATTACAACTTTAATACAACAGTCAATTTACACAGTGTTGGGTTGAAATTACTTCTTTTCAAAATTTCAACCCGCAATGACTTATAAACTATGGGATGAAGATGGTATAATACTGATATTATGTTGACACTCTGTTTTCAGGAGACAAGCCACACGAATGCTACCTTTGTGCCAAGAAGTTTGCGCTTCAGTGTAATCTGAAGACACACATGAAAACGCATGAAAGTAAGTATAAATTATTATTATTTTTTTTTAAAACGAAATGAATTTAAAAAAAAATCATTGCATGGAAAGAAATAATTTTCTATATTAAAGAAAACAGAACGAATTTAATGGTGATACCGAGATGATAAATTTACACCGAGATAATACATTAGTGAACTTTTCACCTCTATATTTTGTGATACAAGCCTCTCAAGTGACAAGTAATTGCGTTACGTATTCACGTAGAGTTCCGGTAGACCGACCCATCAGATAGACTACTTTATATAACACGTACTCGACGATACAGCATCCGGATGATGTCAGATTCAATCCGTGTCACTAAGATAGTGCCACTTCCGGTTATCGACCCGTCGTCAGAGCGGATTATATTACAATGCTTTAAGACTCTCTGTTCTTTCTTTGCAGACGACACACAAGATGAATGTGTACGATGCGGTAAAGCGTTTCTAGGATCCAGTACATCGCCCACTCGACAATGTTCCGAATGTGTTACTCTGGAAAATACAGAAAACAGCCGAAAAGTGCGAAAGCCGTCCTCCGATTTCAGTATATCCCGACTAACGCAATCAACCCCTAAGCGTTCATTGGACTCGGATCCGAGAACTCTTTCTCAAGATTTCCCAAGAGAACCATTAGGGAGTCCATCATTTGACAGATCACCGCCTTTCTATTCACCGAAACTTATGTCATTCCCGTTATCTGCGCACGCAGCATTGTCGCCGATCTCACCCCAGAACGTCATAATGTCGCCTCGTCATCGTGGGTTTTCCCCCATTGTTGTCCGCCATTCTGGCATGCTGAGCCCGTCCAATGAACACATGAAGATGTTCGGTATCCTTGGTGATCAAAGACATAGTTACGGAAGTGACGTAATACCTCATAGACCATTCTGGAGCGGAAGTTTGACTCATGGATATTGAAGATATATATTTTCTGTTATATATATGACTGTGGACGCATCTAGTCAGAATCGGTGAATCACATATGTCAGACAATGGCATCGAGAATGAACTAGTCTTTACGGTGTTGACATTTTAATGCACACTTCTGTATGGATCGATTTGTCGAACTATGACAATACAACTTGACAATGTTGTGAGCATAGCTATGATGATACGCTTGCAAAGATTTCATAACATGTTGTTCGATTCTTATATATTTCTTAATTCCTATTGGAATTGAATATTACTATGGCTCGAACTAGAAGCTGAGGATGGTTTAGCTATTAATAACATTAATATACTACAGTGTGTCTGATGTTCGTCAAAACTCTCAGTCTAGAATACTTAATAAACAATGTTACTGAGTAATTTCCGATGATCTCGTAAATATCCGAAATTACTTTTTCTTGGATTACCTGCGTACTGAGTTTTTAAATTCACCTCCAGGAGGTACATCGTCCATGTGGTAATTTAGGTAAACCGTAGAGATTTCCATTGCTACATAGGTTTTTTTCTGTGTTATTTTTGTATTTTGTGGTCCGTAATTGTACATTGTCATATAAGTCCCTTGTGTACTGCCATGGCAAACACGGGAACTGTGCACACTTTAACGCAAATGTTTGTAAATAGTTCTTTATCCGACACGTGCAATTATTATATATAACCACGTGATGCTGACTGTGATTTGATCATTTTGTATATATATATACGCTTAAAATTGTCGATCAAAATAATTTTATTTGGATCGGACTACATTTTTTGATCTTGTTGATGAAATGTTTTCTTTCTGTCTGTTCTTACTGAAGTTTTTCTGTGTCTGTTGTAAATATTCCTCTTTCGATCCGTCCGTTCTTCATCTGTTTTCTTTTTCTGAGCTTTCTTTCACACTTTCTTTCTATTTGTTTTTTCCCCCACAACAATCTCAACACCTCACCAAGCTACAAGTGTCTCCTCCTCGTGCCGGTAACACTACTTTCTGTATGTTACAGTGTAATATACAAGTGCTTGTAAACAGCTGATGCTGTCCGACATTTTGAATCGCCAACCTACGCCAAAGATTTCTGCAGAGTTTGTAATGAAGATGACTTGTCCACTTATATAATGTTACCCTACCACACACATTACCACGTGACCCTACTATATACATTACCACGTGACCCTACTATACACATATCCAGGTGACCCTACTATACACATTACCACGTGACCCTACCACACACATTACCACGTGACCCTACTATACACATTACCACGTGAACCTACTATACACATAACTAGGTGACCCTACTATACCCATTACCACGTGACCCTACCACACATACATTACCACGTGGTCCTACTATACACATTACTACGTGACCCTACTACACACATTTCCTAGTGATCCTACTATACACATTACCTAGTGATCCTACTATACACATTACCACGTGACCCTACCACACACATTACCACGTGATCCTACTATACACATTACTACGTGACCCTACCACACACATTTTCTAGTGATCCTACTATACACATTACCTAGTGATCCTACTATACACATTACCACGTGACCCTACCACACACATTACCAAGTGATTATACTATACACATTACCACGTGATCCTACCACACATACATTACCACGTGATTCTACTATACACATTACCACGTGACCCTACCACACACATTACCACGTGACCCTACCACACACATTACCATGTGATTATACCACACACACATTACCACGTGATTCTACTATATACATTACCACGTGACCCTACCACACACATATTACCATGTAACCCTACCACACACACATTACCATGTGATTATACTATACACATTACCACGTGATCCTACCACACACATATTACCACGTGATTCTAATATACACATGACCACGTGACCCTACCACACACACATTACCACGTGACCCTAATACACACATTACCACGTTGACCACAATGACTTACAAGTAAACGAACATGTAGATTATTCGAGGATTCGTGCAATACCCCTTTTGTTGCAAAGTTGGACTGTTTGTGTAATGAAATCCCAAAAGTGTCACTGTTTTAATTCACTGTGTGTCATTAACACATGTGATATATACCAAAGAAATAAAGTTATACGTGAACTGTTATGAACTTGTTTGTTATTTTATATCTAGTGAATTTTGTCACTAATTTGGATATTATGGGTGTAATCACTATTATAATTCAACTTAGCGTTCCCAGTATTGTATATATATAATGGACGTTACCACTCCTGAACATGTAGTATACTTACAGTTATAGAATGAGGAAAAAGCATACGTAAAACCTGGGGAAATAGCATATCTAAAACCTGGGGAAATAGCATATCTAAAACCTGGGGAAATAGCATATCTAAAAACTATTTCCCGAGGCGGCGGCTTCATCGCCTCAGGAAATAGTTTTTCACTTAGGGGGATCTTAAATTTGCTATTTCCCACATACCCATTCCATAACTGTTTCTCTATAATGAAACAAAGTAAGGCAATTTAACAAATGAATTAAATAATACAATTCTTTAAACAATTTCAAAGAGAAAATAATATCACAATTTGGAGAAAAAATAACTGATCACAGAACTTTTTTATTATAAAAAATAGCAACATTGACAACCATCGACCACTTGGACTTGACAATCTGAACCCGTTGTTCACATAGAGTTCATCTAATTGAATTCTTACAGTTCAAACAGGACAATTATCACATCCTGGTAAAAAGCGGCCAATGTTGACAGTCAATTTCACTGTTGTTTATAATTTTAAAAAAAAGTATTAACGTCACTCCGCGCGTCACGGAACCAACCCCCCCCCCCCCCCCCCGGACACCCCCCCCCCCCCCCCCCCCTACCAAATGTTCATTGGTTGAAATTTTAAAGACTCCGTCTACGAATATTCATGAGGGAGATGTCCTCTTGTTTACAGGGAGTAGTGCGATTTTGGGGAGGGTGTAGCCCCCAGATGGAGAGATTTGAGCGATTTCAGGGAAATAGGACTTTTTAGCGAATTGTTTTTATATAGGGAAATACAGTAGAGGTATACTAACGAATTTTACCGCTGTTGCATATCTAGTGAGCGTCGTCGATATTGTACATCTGGTAAGCGTTGCCGTTGGTGTACATGTAGTAAGCTTTTTTAGTTAAAACATATTTTATTGCCAAAAAAATGCAAAAAGATTGGGCACAAGTTACATGAACATTATCAACGCCCTTTCCTTATAAGATAAATAATTGTATATACACATCATAAGATGGCTTTCATAGTTTACTGTATATTGCTCAATAATGCACTCTTTTTAACCAATGAAAACCGTCGTTACATCACAGACGTGGTAGAATGTAAGATACATCTGCACTTTTAGTTAATCTCCGAACCAGTTCCCAAAAATTCTTTTGATTGGTTTTTGCATAACTATCTAAAAGTCCATTAATATCAGCATAGAAATGTGGTAAGCATTGCCGCTATTGTACTCCTAGTGAACACTACCATTGTTGATACGTATACACGTGGGTATTTAATTAAACTATTCTGCCCGGTGTTTTTACTTTTCATGTGATCAACGTTCGCGATTATGACAAAACAAATTGAAAGAAAGTATATGTATATGCTTTCCATGTCTACGTGCTCTCATCTACACCAAACTGAGATGCAAAAGATTGTTGGTAAAGATTTCACTTTTAGACTTCGATGTGTGGATATGCAACATTACATGGGGTACAAGGAAGAATACACGCGATTTGACAGCAGATTTCAGAACATTAGAGTAGATAGCATTGCAAATAATTAATTTGGCTCTTAAGTCATATCTATCTATTTTGTTTTAAATCAAGAAATATATGAAGTTTTCAATATGTGTAGCCGCTGTTCCATATATGCGTATCTTATTTACGTCCCTGCCATACCATAATCGTCCTCCAATGTCAATTTTTACTTAAATAGTGATTTGTCTTCTTCCTGCCTTCAACTTATATTCGTCGATAATTGTATTAAGTATGTAGTTCATGCTAAAGATCACACCATTGAAACAAATAAGAAATAAATAGGAGGGGTGTAGCTCCCGAACCCTAGCAACTGTTATTCCGTCTTTTCGTATTGCAGAGTTATCTGGACTTGTGAGCAGGTATTGATTGTTACGTCATTTGTTTGTGAGAGTAACTTCATCAATGTTTGAGAAAATGACGTAATTTTCTCACACACACCAATGACGTAACAATCGATACCTGCTCACAAGAGAAGATAACTCTGCAATCCACAAAGACGGAATATGGGCCAGTGACTCAAACCTGCCACCGCGACGTCACAAGTACCACGTGACCTGTTAGCTCATCAAATTTTTCGCCAGTAAGAAGCGGTCATATTTGATTGCCTATATCTGTGTTACGGAACACTTCTTAACGCGTGTTGAGGGATGATTCGGTATTTATTTAACTATATCACAAATTTCGCTTATTTTGCAAACTGTAAAATTGATTTGATTGATTTAAACATATTTATTGCCCCAAATTTGAGCAGAGGATTACATACAAGTTATATCAACTTATATTATCAACGCCTTTTCCTCTAATACAGTACATATTGATATTTACATGATAGCATTTAACAAGGCATACATACTATATTTTACAATCATTATATTTTACTTAAAACCTGTTGCTAGATTTGATAAAAAGTTGCGCGTGTCTGAATACTTCTGTGTTGGTATCATTTTATTTCCCAAATAGGGATTGAATCGGGATTTTTCTAATGTTCATGCAAGTATGAACGGGGAAAATTTACTTACAAACCACATGAGCGGCCGTAACGAAGCGAAGGCCGTTCATGTGAAGTGTGTAAGTAAATTTGTAACAAAGTGTAAAATGAAATTTGGAATTATATAAAAATAAACCTAAATTTACTGTATATATATTCAACGAGTTTATGTTTTGAAATAGCATAATTCGTGCTGTATTAAAAAGCTTACATTCAAAGAAAAAATGACCAACATCCTAACAGGAATGTCCACAAGCGCATAGATCAACAATCTTAACACGGAACAAATCATTTCTCAACGAGCTGCACTGATGTCTGCGTTTCGTATGTAATATATGTACATTGCGTTCGCCAAAATCATAATAAGATGGTGGAGACGAATTTGCACCATTAGATATTGCAGATTTAAAGGTATTTAAAGATGACAATGTTCTTATTGTTTTGTCTAACGAATTCCAAAGACGTAAACTCGATGGCAGAAAAGAAGAGTTGCTTGAGGAGCGTCTGAAAGAAGGAATATTGTAATCATAATGTAAAAACTTTTGGCCAAAATCTTTAAAGATCCTCTGTGCAGTTCCATCCGGTCCAGCGGGTATGATTTTTATCAGCTGGAATATTTTTTTTTATATCTATAAGTTAGCGTATAGTTGCTAATTAACAAGAATAGCTCGTTCTCGCCAATCCCTTTTGTATAATAGATGCAAATGTAAAAATATGTTTAAATAAATAAATACCGCCTATCTATAACTCTATAACTATTCATTAATAATTCCTAATATGTCTTAACTTTAGAGTTATAAATATCAATAAGACTCAATTATCTATCCTCAATGGTTACAATTAGCGCTCAAGTGTTCATAAGGGAAATAAGTATATAATATGTTTGCGAGTTACATTCGCATTCAACACTTATCGTTCATGAATTTCTTATAAATTTAACAAGACACCGAATTACGGCACATATTACAATGTACAAATGTATTGTCCTTGTTGTAGGCAAAATGATATGATTGTTTGCACCAGATTATTCGTGTTTCATAAGGGTTTCGGTCAGGTCAAGGCGCCAATGTTGTCGTCTGCTTCAGTCACTCGGTCAGGTCAAGGCGCCAATGATGTCGCCTGTTTCAGTCACTCGATTAGGTCAAGGCGCCAATGATGTCGTCTGCTTCAGTCCCTCGGTCAGGTCAAGGCGCCAATGATGTCGCCTGTTTCAGTCACTCGATTAGGTCAAGGCGCCAATGATGTCGTCGGCTTCAGTCACTCGGTCAGGTCAAGGCGCCAATGTTGTCGCCTGCTTCAGTCACTCGGTCAGGTCAAGGCGCCAATGTTGTCGCCTGCTTCAGTCCCTCGGTCAGGTCAAGGCGCCAATGATGTCGCCTGGTTCAGTCACTCGATTAAGTCAAGGCGCCAATGATGTCGCCTGCTTCATTCACTCGGTCAGGTCAAGGCGCCAATGTCGTCACCTTCTTCAGTCACTCGGTCAGGTCAAGACGCCAATGTCGTCACCTGCTTCAGTCACTCGGTCAGGTCGAGGCACCAATGTTGTCGCCTGCTTCAGTCACTCGGTCAGGTCGAGGCGCCAATTTTGTCACCTGCTTCAGTCACTCGGTCAGGTCAAGGCGCCAATGTTGTCGTCTGCTTCAGTCACTCGGTCAGGTCAAGGCGACAATGATGTCGCCTGTTTCAGTCACTCGATTAGGTCAAGGCGCCAATGATGTCGTCTGCTTCAGTCACTCGGTCAGGTCAAGGCGACAATGATGTCGCCTGTTTCAGTCACTCGATTAAGTCAAGGCGCCACTGATGTCGCCTGCTTCAGTCACTCGGTCAGGTCGGGGCGCCAATGATGTCGCCTGTTTCAGTCACTTGGTCAGGTCAAGGCGCCAATGATGTCGCCTGTTTCAGTCACTCGGTCAGGTCAAGGCGCCAATGTTGTCGTCTGCTTCAGTCACTCGGTCTGGTCGAGGCGCCAATGTTGTCGTCTGCTCAGTCACTCGGTCAGGTCAAGGCGCCAATGTTGTCGCCTGCTTCAGTCACTCGGTCAGGTCAAGGCGCCGATGTTGTCGCCTGCTTCAGTCACTCGATCAGGTCGAAGCGCCAATGATGTCGCCTGTTTCAGTCACTCCGTCAGGTCAAGGCGCCAATGTTGTCGTCTGCTTCAGGCACTCGGTCTGGTCGAGGCGCCAATGTTGTCGTCTGCTCAGTCCCTCGGTCAGGTCAAGGCGCCAATGATGTCGCCTGTTTCAGTCACTGGGTCAGGTCAAGGCGCCAATGTTGTCGTCTGCTTCAGTCACTCGGTCAGGTCAAGGCGCCGATGTTGTCGCCTGCTTCAGTCACTCGATCAGGTCGAGGCGCCAATGATGTTGCCT